ACCTAACCCTAACACAAGCACCACCTTACCCTAACCCACCCACTATCACCTAACCCTAACCCAAGTACCACCTTACCCTAACCCACCCACCATCAACCACCTAACCCTCACCCACCACCACCTAACCCTAACCCACCCACCACCACCTAACCCTAACCCACCCACCACCACCTAACTAACCTTAACCCACCACCACCAGCTAACCCTAATGCACCCCTCCACCACCACCGAGGGTGCTGTGGGGGCAGCATGGGCTCTCTTTACTGTGAGGGTCTTCACCATTCGGGATGGACTAGGTTCAGGGAAAATGGATGGTTCAATAAAGAAAGAAGGAAGTCCGAAAGAAGGTGAGGGGAGGCTGTGTGCAAGCCAGTGGACGATCAGGAGGTAGAGCTGGCCACGGCCACCTGAAGAGGATGCAGGAGAAGGTGGGGGGTGGGGGGAACGGAGAGGCACAGGGTGAGTATGGCGCTGGGGTTGGTGGGAGAGGCGGCATGGGGAGTGTGGCAGGCACAGTGCAGTAAGGGGGGGAGGGGGGCAGTAAGGGGGCTGGGAAGGGGTGCGGACTAGGAGATTGGTTTTCCAAGGGCTGGTTCTGCAGTTGGAAGCAGCAGCTTGGAACCTTGTGATAGGAGGGAGAATGCTGGCTCCGCCTCCAGCCCTAAGGTATGGGAGACTAAGGATTCAGAGCGCTAAGGTACCTTCAGAAGGGGCCAGGTTTCAATGGGGCATGTTCAGGGCCCCGCTGAGGCAGTTCAGAGGGCCTGGTTGACACAAGCTAAGGCTATTAGAACAGCTTAGGCCAGGATGGAGTTATAAGAGCGTTAGGGTGCCAAGCAGGCCAACGTCGGTAGGGCCAAACAGATGTGGGACTGGTGAGTGGGCGCTCTGAGCCCTGTCCACCTCGTCAGCCCCTTCATAAAGAACCTGGTACCCTGCTGGAGAGTTTGAACCCCATCCCGAACAGGCGATCAGACTTTTGGATGAATGGCAGAGAAAAGGAATGGGGGTGGGGGTGGTTAGGCGTTGGGGATAAGATGGGGCCAACTCTAAAGTGGTCCCTGAGAGGGAGGGGGGGTGCACCAAGAAGACAGGGCCCCCATACTGGACAGACTGGGCATGGGGGAGCCAGTGGAGGGGTGACCATGGTGGGCCGGTAGAGGGTATGGTGGTGGGGGCAGCAGGAACAGGCACCAGAAGAGGACCCTCCCTCCCACTAACAGCATCTCCTCTCCCTGTAGCCAAGCCCCAGGAGGCCCTCCAGGCCATACGGGGCTACGTCCGGTACTTCTTTGGCTGTCGAGACTGCGCCCAGCACTTTGAGAAGATGGCGGCCGCCTCCATGCACCGGGTGGACAGCCTGGACGGTGCCGTGCTCTGGCTCTGGACTAGCCACAACAAGGTCAACGCACGCCTCGCAGGTACGGAGGGCCATCGCCAAGGCCAGAGGTGTCCACAGCAAGGGCAGTCGAGGCTGGAGGTGGGGTTGGGGTTCACTCGCTGTCCCACAGTGCCTCACAGCTCGCAGAGACCTTCTGGGGGCCTCGCCAGCCCTCTTGATCCATGTCCGTATCCTTAGCCCCATTTTCTAGATGGGGAAACTGAGGCTTGGATGCTATGAGACCCCGGTTTTCCAACACCACAGCTGATCTTTACCCTGCTCCCGGGACGTTGTCTGGTTGCTGGGCTCCCCAAACTCCTGCCACTCCAGCCCTGTCCCCTGGCTGGCATCCTCTACTCAGACAGACAGAGAGAGCTGGACCCCCCATTCCCTGGGCTGGGGCTCCTGTGTGAATGGCCTGATAAAGAGACTGGTCCTTCCTGGAAGCATAGGGACTGCTGCCCATAAGGGAAGGCCGCGTCTTCTCTGGGTTCCCTATTCACAAGGTTCTCCCACCCGCCTACCCCCACCCACCCACCCCACCCCTGCCAACATCTGAATGGGTCAGCAGGCAAGTGCATGAGGAGGTGGGGGTGGGGGTGGTGGAGCCATCTGTGGACAGTGGGCTGCGTTGTCAACAGGCCGGGAGGTGGGTGGAGCTGAGGTTAAAGGAGCTGAACTGAGCAGGTGGTGGGTGCAGTGCCTGCACTTGGTCTTGATCTCTGGAGACCTGGCAGACTTTGAAAAGACACGTGCCTGCTCTCTCCTCCCACTGGCCCCCACCCCGCCCTGCTCCGCCCCGCCCCCTGCCACCAAAAGCTCCACTTAACCCTCCAGCCCCATGACCTGGGTGACCTTGGCAGGCTCCCCCTCTCCCTCGGGGCCTCGCTGTTGGAGTGCAAAGGGGTCCACCTGCCACTGGACAGACCCCAGTCTGGGGTCCCTCCCCAAATGGCCAAAGGCAGTACCTCTCTGGCTGGGCCTTTCTGATCAAATGGATGACTTTTACCTACGCTCTGCCCCAAGGAGCTGCAGCCCACCACCTGCCCCCAGCGCCACCAGGGCTCCTTTAAGACTCTTTAGCAAGTCTGTGCCCAGTGCTACTAGGCAAGGCCTGGCTACTAGGACTCCTTCCTGGGACTCAGCCCCTGGAAGCTACTTGTTGCCCTTCCAGAGGTAGTCACGCTTTCTGACTTTGGCATGGTTGGTGCCAGCAGCGGCGGCTCTGTCCTGGTGGTCGACAGCTTCCATTTTCCTATGAAAACATTTAGGAGCAGGCAAGAGAGCTGGACATACTGGCTTTCCATGAGCGCTGGGGCTGGGAGCTGGACTCAGGCCTCTGCCTGGACAGCCACCCAGGTGGGCCCCTCGCCGCCTGTGATCAAGGCAGCCCTCAGACTCGCCCCGGCCCCCCTTTTCTCCATCCAGATCTCAGGAACGCACCCAAGAAGGAGACTACTTAGTGCCTCTAGCCCAGCGGTTCTCAACCTGTGGGTCTCCACCCCTTTGAGGGTCAAATAACCCTTTCACGGGAGTCCCCTCATTCATCACAGTAGCAAAATTACAGTTACGAAGCAGCAACGAAAATAATTTTATGAAAAAAAGAATACAGTGAACCCTCGTTTATCGCGGTTAATTGGTTCTAGACCCTACCGTGATAAATGAAATTCCGCGAAGTAGGATTCCTTATTTGTAAATAAAATATTTTCGTAGTTAGAGCATAGAGGACATGAAAAAACACCCTTTAATCACCATTACACTCGTATTACCCAATTTATTAAATGAAAAAGGGAAAATACAGTAAAACATTTTGGACGTTACAATTATCATTTATTTATTATATTATTTATGGCATGTAGTTTACAGTATTACATATTTCACATTATTTTACATAGTTCTTACAAATACTGTAATCAATAGCCTATCAAATGACTTAAAGGATGTACTCTACAGGTGGGTCGCCGTCTTTTTCCTCTGAAGGAGCGGGTGTAGGCAGTGGGTGCTGTTACACAAAAATCACTATAGAGTGAAGCTGCGGAAGTTGAAGCGCAAAGTGGCGAGGGTTCACTGTAATTTTATGGTTGGGGGTCACCACCTCATGAGGAACTGTATTCAAGGGTCGCAGCATGAGGAAGGTTGAGAACCGCTGCCCTAGCCAGCCCCTCCTCACCCCCATCAGCTTGGTGCTGAGGTTCGTTGCTGTAGAATGAACAAGAAGAGCGACTCTTGTCTTTAAAGGCAGACGTCCTCTACTTAGGGAAGTCATCTGTCATCACTGGGTAGACTAGAAATACGCCATGTAACGTGTTTTTGTTGTTGTTTTTTTTTTAAGATTTCTAAAAACTCAACAGTAGCAGACCAACAAAAGGCTGCAAGACAAGCCATTCTATTCTGAACCCTGCCCCTCCCACATCTCACCCAGGGGCTCAGACTGGTGGGGGCACCTGTGAGGGAGGAGGGCATCTGGGTGGGCCCAGGTGTCACCGCCGGCTGTGTTGCTTCTCTCTCCAGGTGCCCCCAGTGAGGACCCCCAGTTCCCCAAGGTGCCCTGGCCCACCCGTGAACTCTGCACTGCCTGCCACAACGAGCTCCAGGGTGACCCCGTCTGGGACCTGGGTGCCACCCTCAGCTTCCTCAAGGCCCACTTCTCCCCTCGGAACATGGTCTTGGGCCTTCCTCGAGCTGAGCCCGGCCTCAGGGCTGCCGGGGCGCGGAGGGCAGGCACCCCGGAGCTGGAGATGGGAAATGCAACTCTGGGTCCTCGTGAGGCGTCCATCACCATGGGCCCTGGCATGGAGGCCCCCAGACTCACCGTTCTAGATGTTCCAGATGTTCCAGCTGAGCAGCCAGGGGCAGGGCTCGCGCATGCACCGGGCCCTGACCTGGGTATGATCAGTGCTGCACCGGACCAGGGGCCCCCTGCGCCCACGGTGGAGCTCCCGGGGGATGAGCCCGAAGAGCTCGAGGGGCAGCGGCACTTGAGCAAGCGGGACACGGGAGCCCTGCTGCTGCCTGACCTCCCGGCTGAGCTGGACCCGCCCAGGGGCCCTTCAGGGCTGAGGCACCACGTAGGCCGGCGCTCCAAACAGCTAGCCAGCATCCCTGATGGGGAGCCTGAGCCTAGAGGCGGGCGGGGCCGAGGCCAGTGGCTGCAGGTGCTGGAAGGGGGCTTCTCCCACCTGGACATCAGCCTGTGTGTGGGGCTCTACTCCCTGTCCTTCCTGGGCCTGCTGGCCGTGTACATCTACTTCCGGGCCAGAATGAGGGCTCTGAAGGGCCGCACAGGCCACTCCGCAGCCTGACCCACAACCCGGGGGGTGGGGAGGCAGGACAGGGAGCCGCTCTCCATGAGGCACTTCCAGCAGCAACCTCCCTCCCCCACCCCCACTCCCCTCTTTCCCAGCCCAGGAGAACAGGAGGTCCAGGGAAGCTACTTGCTCCAGTGACCCTCCTTGGGTCTTCTGGGAAGAGGGTGCTGACATAGCTCCAGGGGCCAGAGCCACCTAAAAGCAGGGCTGGGGTGCAGCCTGGGGCAGCGGGTCCCAGGGGCTCAGACCCAGCCCCTGACCCAACATCACTGTTTTTCAGCTTGTTTGCAGCCCTGCCCCACTCTTGCCTTGCGGAAACCTCAACATCACCCGTTTGATCTTGGCCCTAAACTGGGCAAGGGAGGCCAGTTTCCAAGGCTCTCCATCCAGAGGGGGTCCCCTTGGTGGGGCGGGCATTCCAGGGCTGTCTGCACCAGAGAGGAAGAGGAAGGCAGACCTCTGCCCTTCCTCCGCCCCTCAGACCTCCTGGGTGGGGTTTGGCTTCAGGTGGTTGCTGGAAGCCTCAACCCAGGTGCCGCAGGGAGAGGCTACCTGGTCTGAGGGTGGGTGGCAGTGGCTGGGCTGCAGGCGGTGGCTGGCATGGTGGGGCTTGATGGAGGAAGGCAGTGGGTGGCTTGGCTTTGGAGTGAGGTGAACTGGGAGGAAAGAATGGTTGCTTTGAAAATGCGTTGGCTTCTCCCTCCTGGGCTCCACCCCTCTCTTTTGGCTTCCAGAATAGATGCTGATCTTTGAATGCAAAGGGTGCTGGGCGGGGGTAGCAGGGGTGCTGTCCTCCACACCCCACTTCCCAGCAGGTGGAGGGAAACGCTATGAACTCACGCCTTCCCCACTCTCCCCTCTGCTGGGGCGTGGGAATAAATTATTTTTAGTAAAGCACACATCAGTGTGTCCTCTCACTTGCTGCCTAAAGGCCTCGCGTTCACTTCAGCCAGCCCGGGGTATGCCCAGTGCAGCCTTACCTGGCATCCCACTGTGGAGGGTGCCCACTTCCCCCAGGATGGGCCCTCTGGGCCGCCAGTGCCGGCAGTCTCCAGATGTGCCAGAACCAGGCTCGGCTCGGGCGACCTCCTGTCCTAGGGGACACATGTTTCTGTTCTCGCAGCCCTGCTCAAGACACCTGCGTGCACACCTCTGCCTCTAGTCAAGGAAAGGGCTGGGTGTGTGCCATGGGAGCCGCCCTCCGGGCCCCCCCCCTCCCCACCCCTACCCCTACCCACCCCCGCCCCTGTGCTGGCCGCTGGGCTGCAGTATTAGGGACTGCTCCTAATCCACCCACCCAGCTTTGGGAGGATCAGAGCGGCTGATAATGAACCTCATTAAGGGGAAGCAGGAGCCACAATCCGATTTGGGGTTTTCCTCCGACCTCTTCCCTGTGCTCAGACGGCCTCAGCACGGGGTGCAGCAGGTGGGGTGATTTGCCCGGCAGCTGGGATGGGGGCTGGGCCAGGCTGGGGTCAGCTCCCCCCTCACTTGGTTCTGCCCCATTTTCCCTCTTTAGCCACCCAGCCCTTCTGGGTGTCTCCCAGCCCAGAGCACCTCTCTGCAGCCCCTGTCCGGGGTCCCGTCCAGCAGGGTGGGGGAGTGGGACCCTGCTCCAGTCTCCTTGGTGCTCCATACTCCTGGGCCAGCTCATCATCGCCCGACCCCCAGCTCCTGCCTGAAGGCCCAAGAGAGGCGAGCTCTCGAGGCCTGGGTGGCGGCAGCCCACCAGCCCCTGGCTGGGCATCTTGGAGGCTGACGGGGCCATACAGTGGGTACAGCAGTCCTGGCCTGGAAGAGCTTCCTGGGGGCCAGTGCCCAGTGAGTCCACAGGCCAAGTCCATGGAGCACCCGCTCCCCATTGTCCATACCTGACCAGTCCAGTGTAGGGGATTGCTGGTAGCAAGTCCTCATGATGTGATCTTAAACCAGACAGGGCTGTTTAAAATTAGGACCATTCATTCAGGAAGAGCTGTCACTGGCAGCCCAGCCCCTTGGTGCTGGTCAGGGTCCGGCCACTGGCTGTGGGTCTCCTTCGCTACCATCTCCAGCAGCCAGCTCAGCCCCTCTGATTGATACCCTGGGTGGGCCCCGCCCACTGCCTAGCCTTGTTGGCTCTCACCTTGATTTCCCCAGGGCTCTGGCAGCAGCTTTGATGAACTGGCTTCCCCACCAGCTGGTCCCCTCCCCCACCCAGTCTGCCAGGCTGCAGGCCTCCGTCTGGGTTCCTTCTCTGCCCCCTGGGACAGCTGCTATGGCCGGAGAGGACTCTGGGCCGCCTGTTGCGGGACTGGGGTGTGATGGAAGAGTTCCTCCAGGAGACAGTTGAGCTGGGCTCTGACAGATGAGTGTGTGCTCACAGCTGCTCCGGAGATACCCGAAAGCCCAACAACGAAAGAGACAGACAGACAGACAGACAGACTGGAAAATGCAAAGCCAAGAACTACTTGTAAGGACCTTCTTAAATGTGACACTTGGCTCAATGGTAGAGGTAAGACCAAAAAGAGGCATGGACCCTGCTCTACGGCAGTTAGTTATATTAGAGAAGGAAAGGCAGACAGTAAATGAGCTGGGGGGTGTGGGGTGGGGGGTTGTTATAGAAGGGGTGCCCAGGGAGACTTGAAGGATGAGAAGCCTTGAAGCAGCCAGGCCCCTCAGAAGCCACCTCTGGGCTGAGGAGACTCAAGAGGGACACCCCACCATTGATCTAGCTCAGTGGTTCTCAACCTGTGGGTCTCGATCCCTTTCACAGGGGTCACCCAATTCCTAACAGTAGCAAAATGATAGGAAGTAGCAACGAAAATAATTTTATGGTTGGGGGGTCACCACAACATAAAGAACTGTATTAAAGGGTTGCAGCATTAGGAAGGTTGAGAACCACTGGTCTAGCTCCTTCCCAGAGCCTTGGCTTAAGTGGGGGTGAGGAGCCGGATGCCACCCATCCTCAGTGTGTAGAGAAGTGGGCTTCCTGGAGTCCCAGGGTAGCCTGAGTCCTGCAGGAAAAACTGGAGAGGCCCCAAGAAAGCCATCAAATCTGGCCTCTGGCTGGGAGAGCCACGTCCAGCCGTGGCAAGTCTGCCCTCCGGCTTTGAGCCCGGCTCCCCACCCTGGGGTCCTCTTCTATCTGTGGAGTTAGGTGACCTACCTTGCTGGATTGCCCCACTAGGCAGGGAGTACAAATAGCCCGTTGTCCATGTGATGAGCCTGTTCAGTGCTGAGCTGCTCACTGCAAGGTCGGTCGCTCAATCCCACCAACCACTGCTTCCGGAAAGTTCTCTGCCCTGTTGGGGCTTATGAGTCAGAATCAACTCAGTGAGGGGGTTAGTGTGAGGCATGGTTCATGTAAGTGTCCTGCCTTAGTGCAGAGAAGACTCATGGGCCCTGTTCACACAGGGCTTTCCTGGAGTTAGGTGTCCAGGTGGTAACCCTGAACCGCTTCAGCAGATGCCACTGAGCCTGTGGGAGAATCCGTGTTAACGGCTAGTTAGGAGGTGCTCAGAGGCAATCATGCCTCCCACCCCCATTCTGCCATGGCAGGCAGGGATGGGCCTCTTCGGGGGGCTCCTAATACTACTCTGATTTTGTCGCCATCTTAAAAATGTTTATAACAGAATTACTAGTGATGATGTTCACCACGTCTTGGACAACATGTAGTATGATTCTGGTTTTAGAGATGAAAAAACTAGACAAAGAGATTACAAACACCCTATTTTCTGTGCTCCCCACCTAAAAACAAATGAAGTGGCCTAAGGGCTCCTAGGACTTATGTGCAGTTCCCACTCCCACCCCAGAACCCCAGTTGCTATTCGCTTCTTGCAGACACTGCTGTGGCCCATGTTCTCTTCCCTTTGGGACGCTTAGATTTTCCTGTGAGACTTCATGTGAAGGTGTTGGCACTAGAGTGGACAACATCCAAGTGGCAGCCCGCCTCTCCAAGAACAGAGATTCTGACTAGCTCTCTGGGTTTCCGAGGTCTGTGTGTCTTTCTAGGGGGTGTGTCTGTCCTGTGTTGGTGGCAGGAAATGGAGATACTCCCAAGGAAATTCACCTTTTTTTAATTGCTTGCCCATTCTCTACATAGGAGAGGAAGTACCCCCACTCCACCCCACCCCAGGCCCATCTCAGATCCATTGGGAAAGAAAGGGGTGCCTTTGATTTCAGCCCCTGTAGTTTCCTTGGGCCGTACTCACAATGCACTTTAAACTGGGGGTGGGAAACTTTAGGAAAACACATGTATTCTCTCTTGCTTCTGGAGATGAGAAATCCAAATTTACCGGGACCGGGCCATGTCTCTGAAGGCTCTTGAAGCTCCTTCCTAGTCTTCCAGCTCCAGGGGCCCAGGCACTCCTTTTTTGAGGCTCTCCAGACTCTGCCTCCATCTTCACAGGGCCATCTTCCTTCTGTGTACCTCTGTCTCGAGGGTGCACCCGTAAGGGTGCCACGCATTGAATTAGGACTCGGAGATTAGGGCCCTCACATAACTTTTTGGATACAAGTCAGTCTCTAAGTAACTGGCGGAGGGTAGGGAGGAGTATAATCTGCTGCAGAGGCTCAAAAGGTTCGTTCTTCACTTGGGGGTCTTGTTAAAGGGTAGCTTCTGCGTCAGTCTATCTGGGGTGGAAATGCAGGCTCCCAGCCGTGGGTGAAGTGGAACAAACCTGCTCTCTTGGCTCTGCTGCCAATCAGATGGGTGAGGCTGGATGTGAGCCTTCCTTGCAGCGTCCGCTTTCTCTGGAAAATCCGGGTCAGAAATGTATCCTGACTGCCGTAGGGCCCCCTTACCTCTCTATGATTCCTGCTGCTCTATTGTCGGCCCAGTGTGGGGAGCAGAGGCGAGGGGTTGTTCCTGCAGAACCTTCTGGAGAAAGGACATCAGGCTGAAGGAAATCACAGCTCCTGGTTTATATATTCCTATGGAATCCCGCCTAAACGCAGGACCTCCTGTGAACAGGAAGCCGTGGCAGAGCCCTGCACTGCACCGCCTGACTCCCACACAGTCCCCCCAAGTAGGCTTCTCTGGGGACAGCCCAGTACCCTGCCCAACACATGCGCTTCTCCGACACCTTCGGTCACGCCAACCTCTCGGAGGGGAAAGTGCTGCTTCGTGAGTCCTCAGCTCGAAGGAATAAACTATTTCTATACCCAACTCTTGTGCCGTGATCATCTCTTCCTGGTGCCTGCTTCTGCCCCCTGCACACCAGTACATGGCTCTGGGCATCTGGGCTGGGTCCTGACTGCACACCCCCCCCACACACACTGCCTTTTCCCCTTCCTCTCCAGCCAGCTCATTCTCCCCTCCCCGACCACTGGCCTTCCTTAGCCCTCCTGCCTCCGGAGGTCTCAGAAACTCAGGATCCCAGGTCCTTCTGCAGAAGAAGGGGTCTCCCAAAGCCTGGCCCTCTGCATGGAGAAGAGCACCCCCATCCGTGGGGAGCATCACTGGCCTCCAGGAGGGTCACTGGGGGTGCATAGCACCGACGGCACCTCCCTGGTCACCTTGCTCTGGGTTTCACTGTCGCCCAGTAGGGCAGGGAGGGAGAGCGCTGGAGGGAACAAGGCAGAGATGGAGGACCTCTGGCGACCTGAGGGGAGGCTGAGCCACTGGGGTACTGACCTTGGGGGAACTGAGGAAGACCCAGGGGACCACTCCCTAGATCTCAAGATGAGCTCCCACTCATCTCAGACTACATCGAGGGAGCAAAAGGCTCACGGGCTGTGACTTCTCCCTGTTTAACCTCCCACCGATGGCAGGGCTCACCTCACCAGTGTCTGCCTGGAAGCCTTCGCCCACCTCAGAAGGGCTGCTCGTAGTTGGAAGGGACTGAACACCTTCTGTAGCTGGAATCTGCTTTACCACATCTCCACTGAGCTCTCAAACTGCAGGGCTTCTGAGGCTCAG